TATATATATATATATATATATATATATATATATATATATATCGTCAAATAGAACTGCCCGGTAAACCGTAGGCAGAGAGGGAGAAGAGGACAACAAACGAGGGGCTGTATATATATATATATCGTCACAAATAGAAAAAAACCGTAGGCAGAGAGAGAGAAGAGGACAACAAACGAGGGGCTGTGACAAACTGTTTCGTCGGAGTTTCACCGACTCATCAGGATATATATATATATATATTGTCACACTGTGAATCGGAGCGCAAAGGCGGAAAAAGGCAAAACAAGGAAAGGAAAAGAAGGAAGGAAAGCCCCACCTGTTCATCACCTCTTATGTGCAAGGCCAGCCACGTGGATGACAGGTTGAGCGCTGGCTGCCCCCATCCCCGTGTGTACCCAGGTCGATCCCTGATTCGCAAACCCCTACCTGGCCTAGCCTGAAAACCAGGCCTAAATGGTGTCCTTTTTTGTTTGTTTGTTTTTCAAACTCCATTCCATTCTTTGGGAGCAACACGTGCTGGGAACCGAGCCCAGTGTCCCTTATGAAGATTGTACATAACATATGAGAAACTGGGGCCATTACTCGGCTTCGGCTGAGATCAACTCAACTGATTACAAACAGCTTCCGAAGAGTCCTCAGGAGTCCTAAGGAGTCCTAAGGAATGCAAAGGAATGCTAAGGAATGCTAAGGAATGCTAAGGAATGCTAAGGAAGACATAGGCATGTTAAAGAATGCCAAACACATAGACAATGCTAAGGAATGCTAAGGACAACCTTTGCTTCATTTTTTGACATAAGAACTAATACTACACGTTTTGTTTGCAATTTCAAATTGGTGTGCAGCGTGTAATCATATCATTTATACATCACTCTCCAATCATTTGCGTACTTGAACGCCAAGTTGCAAACGAATACTACGTAATTCATGTTGTTTCAAGAACTGCAACAGTCGAGCCTCGACATAAAAACATAGACCGTGCAGCGAAGGAATGCTAAAAAACTTAAAAAAAAGACATAGGGATGTTAAACCACCAGTACTTCCTAAAGTCGTGCTCGTTAACAAGCCATGATTTTAGGAAATGTACGGGGCTCACTTCAGCAGCGCCCAAGTTCATCCGACTACAAACGTTTCTACTCTACTTGCTTTCCGCGGCCAATAGCTGGGCCAAGTATTGATGGTTTGAAGTTTAAACCCCCAGTACACCCAGGCCTGGAGGCGCCTTACTGCGTGCCCAGCTTTCCCAAACCGCCAGCGGCGCATTTTTTTCTCTTCCGGTAGCCCGAGCCTCCAAATTTTTCTTTGTAGGTGACGAGTTGCATTTTCAGCAAGGCTGGGGCCATGTGTACTTGCGGTTTAAGGAACGCTAAAGACCT